ATATATATTTCATTTTAGCCAAGTCAAGTTCACCAGAAAACCATTTCAGCAGACCAGCATGGATACATTCATGTCATTGGGATAACTAAATAGAAGGCCGTTGGTCTGCAGGTTATTAATTATACTTTTGTCATTTCTACAACATGTCAAACATAACTAGAGTCTACTGGGTCAACAAAACGTTACTCTCTGGTTTTCTGGATTACAAGTCGAATCTTGTACTCTCTTCAGCATAGTGCTTTCGAACAAGTTCCATTAATGCAAGCACCATCTTACAAAAGCCACACAGTAAAGTATATAAACAGTAAATATTCAGTGGAAAGTGAAATATTGTGGTGTTCTGCTTAGAACAGAATTTCAAATCTGCAGCTCTCACCTCAGTTTTTGCCCACACAGGGTCTTTGTCACTGTCAGCTGTATGACAATATTTTATTGGCAGAATGAGCTTTGTTGGCGTGAAAGCATTTATGTTTCGTGTCACTGTGAAAGCTAAGTGCGCTTTGTTTATGCCTCCTCATCAGGCTTTTTAGTGTGGGATCGCTCATTCCTGCTTTTGTCATACCTCCATTCCTCCCCCTCTCTCGAAACAAGTGAGGGATTAAAACAGAGTCGTCTGGAACAGAAGACCGTGATGGGAGAGAAGCAAGAAGATGACAGCAGCTCACTGGAAACCACAGGATGGATTTATTTTGTCTTCAAGATTTAAAAAGTACAAGACTTGAGCACAGCAGCTCAGCTTTTTGCTATGTTCCTGTTCCTGTGGGCTGTAATGTTAAATAGTGGACAGAAGGGACATTTTTCATGTATTAAATAATAATCACAGCTAAAGGATGTTCGTGTGTGTTAATACATCTTGAACGCACAGTCAAGAATCTAAAAAATGCCCTTCTTTTACCAAAGCCAAGCTAAATTTAAACACAAATAAATGTGAGATGTAGATAAATGCATTTTTTATGGCAAAATCTTAGAATGTCTGCAAAGACTGATAGAGGCTGAAGACCAAGAGAAGCTATTTTTGACACTCACCAATCAATATATAAAGATTTCAACTTTGACAACACGGTCAGACATAAACCATTTCAGAGATCTCTTTGACTTTGTGGGTTTTCACATCTACAAAAAGCACATAAGGAAGCCAGGCACACAAACCCTCCTCAGAAGAAGTGGTTTATGGTTGTGTTTCAGCAGTAGCTTCCCACCATCTGTGTTGTTTTATGCAAGTACATTACAACAATTTCAGGGACATGCAGTTTCAAATAATGGCTTTGTCACACAAGAAGAATTTAAAGTTGTTTAGATTTCTAAAACGTATAAAAATGGCAAATGTTTTCCTGTTCCTGTTTTATTTTAGAATTGAGTAGACCGCTACTGTTTTGCCACAAATATGACGGCATAATAACCTCAGTTTTTCTTTTAGATATGCAAACTCTAAGTCAGCCTTCCCTGTTTTGTGTTCCTGCTCTATGATCAGCTTGGAGCTCAAAGAACTACAAAAAGAAGTTCACTGCAGAAACTATCTAAAGTTATAGATAAGGAGAGCTCACAGGAGGAACCTTCTGCACATCAAGACTAACTTTGTCTTTGCCGCTCCACTCAGGCAAGGCATGCAGGTTATGAGGCAGAACTGACCACCTTTCCACCAGACCGTCATGAGAAGGTCACTACAGTCACTTGTTTCATCAGTTTCTGGTTCTTGCAAAGCATCTCTGATGTTTCCTTCACCTCAGCATCCTCTCAGGACAGGCACGGCAGTAATCTACAATCTGAGTAGTTGACAGGGACGTACAATCATTAGATTCTAGACTGTTCTTCTTCAAGACAGTCTCTAAAATATACACTACTGTTTTCTGTTTGTTTTGCAGTTTTTCATTTATG